TGGCGAGCCGAAAACCACGAATTCAACCTCGTCTGACAAAGACACAGGCACTACGACAGGCGAGAAGTGCCACTGTAGTGAGAGAATTTGAACAGAAAGAAGAAGCAGCGCGACAACCACAACCACAACCAGCCTTAGCAGGCCCTAGCAGAAGGCGAGTACCACTGCATACTCCAGCCGAGCCGAAGAAAGTCGAGTTTGCCAGACCAGCTATGACAAAGGCGATGCTGGCCCGAGTAAAGCATGCGGAGAAGTTGAAGCAGGAATATGAACGTAAACAAGAGGAAGCTGCACCACGAAGGCCAAGAAGGACACCTGCACCGATCGGTGGTGACCCTAGGTGAACTTCAAAAATTATGTGCATCTTCGATATATTATTTCAGCTGGGAGTTTCTAAAACGTTTCGCATGTTGAACGTTGCTTCTTTAAGATTCCTGAGTAGTTGCCGCGGCCTATTGGAATTGTGACGTCAAAAGCGAGGAATGACATTAATTTATGTTACGTGCCATTTGTAAATAAAGACAATTTGGATAAATCTAAATGATGAGATCGCTTTAAAACACTTGTAAAAACTAAAACTGTAAAAAACTGTAAACTAAACTGTACTTTCTTCTCTTGACTGTCAGCAAATGGTTGTAAAAGACACATAAAGTGAGCCTATACTCGAATAGAAACACACAATTTGACAGCGGTTGAAACGTTAAAAATACGCTTTTACATATAAAATTCCAAGATAACTTTAGTTTTCTTTAATACTAGAAATTTAAAATGCCTATTATGGAAGCTGGATCTTCATCGCTTTAAATAATTCAATCTTAAATTACTAACTTATACTATATATATATATTTGCATATATATCATATTGTAGTCTTTTCCCAATGAGAAATGACAATGGAATCGATGTCGATTCCATTGTCATTTCTCACTGGATTCTAATTAAGCGCCGAATTGTTTTTTTGGACATAAACGCAATTAAAACTATTCTAGTAATCGCGAATTAAATTGACAGCAATTTTAATAATTTGATGCTATAATCAATCATCATACTATAAAGATGTTAATATATTGAAAAATTATTAATAAAAATTTATTACGAAAAATATTACCTCGGCTGGGATTTGATCTCTTGTATTTCATGCGAGTGTCCTAAGCCTCTGTGGTCTAATAGCTTAGGACGCTCGTATGGAATACAAGAGATCCGAGTTCAAGTCTCGGCCGAGATAATATTTTTCACAATAAATTTTTATTAATAGTTTTTCAATATATTAACATCTTTATAGTATAATGATTGATTGTAGTTTTAATTGCGTTTATAGTCCGGAAAAACAATTCGACGCGCAGTTCGAAAAGACAATATACATATATATATATATATATATATATATATATATAT